TAATTCAGTGAAAGGCTCTGGAAAAAATTTGAAAATGTTAATACGCACTAACATGGTGCAAAAAGTTTATATATGATATTTATAAGCTTCAGCTCTGTGATACGTCGAAACAGAGGTTAAAATTAACTAAATATTAAATGAAAATTTTACGAAAAATATATTCTCTGAATTTATGCTCTATTTCTGTACAAAAATTTACATATATAAATATTTTTTCAAAAGCTGCAAAATAAGGGCTAGTTAAATTCTTCAATGAAATTTTATGTATACAGAAAATAGTACAGCATTAAAAGAAGTTAGGATTACATTTCGAATTTCAGGATAAATAATTTCAAAATTGGTTACTTACGACAAAATGATACGACAATTTACTTTTAGCACCTAAAATTTTTAAAAGCTTTGAAATGGCAACGGAAAGTGCCACTTTTTCGATTTTATTTTTAGAAGAACATACTTAAACCTTTTGACTCTCTGGTTTGCTGCTAAATTGGGCGATGCCAGATTTTTTGTACTGACTGTAAACATGTAAAGTATTTTACTCAAAGCTCTAAGGCCCAAATAGCAAAAAATTGCAGTAGGTCTCAAAATTCTTCTCTATATTTGTATGTGCATGTGCTTATGCAACTTCAAATATTCCACCAGCGCCACCATTTTTCCACAATTTTGCTCACCAAAGCCGGAAATCTGGCACAAAATGCGTTTTATGCTTTCGAGTGCGCCATTTTAACTGCACTGCAAACTAAAAACCTGAAAAAAATCAGTAAAAAATTGCTTATGTACTTAAAAATATGTGGCAGCAGTATTTTGCTTGCAATGCGACCGCACAAGTTTGTGGCTTCGACGCTGCGCGCTTGTTGCAAGCTGACAGCCTGCGGTTTACGTTCCTCGTACATTTGTGGTTAACAGACGCAATTTTTCAATGGATTTTTTTCTCCTCAAACTCATATTTATTATTATAGTTTTCATTATTGGTTTTTGTTTTGCTTCATGCACATTGCAATGCCAACTAAAATGTTGTTGGATTTTTTATTTCCTTTGCATTTATATAATTTCATATTTTTTCTACTTTTGTTTGTGTGTGTATGTGTGTGTTTACAGCCGACATTTCGTTGCTTTGGTTTACCTTTGTAGTTCTTTGCTGTGTGCTTTGGTTTATGAGCACACTGATTTTGTTGTTGCTGTTGCTGATACCCGCCGCTATTGTTGTTGTAGTCATGATGCGGCTGCACTGAATGTGGTCAGCCATAACTGACAAATGTGGCTGTCAGTTGCAGTTCAAAACAATTTTCTGCTTGAGAATGTGAGCATTTTTGCGGTTTAGTGTTGTTGTTGTTTTTTTTTTGTTTATTTGTAAGCATTACTTGTTAAACGGTAGAGTTATATATTTTTTATACAAGTATATTGTTGTACACACAAACATTACATTGTTGTTGCGATATAACATATTTCTGTTAACAAATATTCCTAACTTTCAATACTTGCTGGAAATACATTTTTCAGTTATAAAAGCTAGAAGGTTGCCAGCTTTTCAAAAATTAATACAAAAGAATTATAAAACAAAAATTGAAAATCACTGAAAACTGAAGAGCTTCAAGGCTATAGATCCATAAAATATTTTTTAACATGGTTGCCACCTGTTTAGTTTTTTAATTCAAAAATATTCAGGTATTAATTAAATGAAATACTCCATTGTAGACAGCATATATAGGATAACATTATTTCAATATATTTTGTGAGAATGACTGCCACCTGATTTTTTTATTGATTCAAAAATATTTAGAAGCAAGAAATCAGCTATTAACATGTATTTGAACAGTGTTGCCACCTGTTCGAAAAAAATTAAAATCAAAGGAATTGATCAAATGAGCTCGATATTTGGCACCCAATGCAAGTTATTTGAGAATTCGTTGATTTACTTAAAAAATGTATTAACCAATCCTATAAATACTAAAATATGGTAATTAAAGTACTCACTAAACTTTGTAAACAGCATATGTATAAAATCTCTAACCGATATACACGTATTTTTAATCTTAATTTCGTATTATTGTTGTTGTTTATGCATTTTTTCCTTACACCTCTCCTTACTTTTTGCAACGCTGAACTCACTTGACCTTAAAATCTGTCAGTTAGTTACGCTGTAGCGTAACCCATCACTTTGATTTGCTCAATATTCGTCGCTGTCATAGTGCCTCTACTGCTTCTACCTACACAACAACAAGCTTAACTAAGCGCTCTACCACTGACTTCCTTCATAGTCACCTTGTGCAACGTCTATCATATCTGCTTTTCTAGGTGGGTACCTTTCGTCGTCTGCCAAGCGACCACAGCAACAATCGAGAGTATCATCCGTTGATTCAGCGTTTTAAGAATACACCGATTTGCTATCGTCTCAAGCGTTGCATAAAAAAATAACAACAATAAACAAGCAAACTGAATCGAAGTCATCATGACTAACTGGCCATCTATAAATGATTGTTTGCGCACCAGCTCAACGCGGAGAGGCTTCTCAGTTGTGGTTGCTAACTGCACGAACATATATTTAAAAAAATATATTTAAACATAGATATATATATATATACAATATATAGATATGTATATATCGCTCGTACTAAACTTCCAACAGGCAATTAGTCACTCCGCCGACCGGATCTCTCTTCGTTCCCATTTAGCTGCTCACTTTTTCTTTATTTTTTTTTAGTGCTACTTTATAATTTTTTGCTTTGATTTTTTCCTATACTTTCAATTTTTACTTTTTAATTTTATTTATTGTTCTGTTGTGCAAAATTTCCTCGCTACAACGCACAAATACTTTCAGCTCATTAGCATAAAAAGTTCATAAATAACCAACAGCAGCAACCCTGCCAAATATTATGCGACCCGATAACGTCGAAAACGTTAAGCAACAACCAGTGCGACATACATATTATATTTAAAATGTAGCATTAAAAAATTAGAAAAAAATATCCAAAATTTATGTAGGCAATGTGAGCAAAAAAGCTTTTGTAGGCGTTGATTATGTGTCTCGCAGTTATAGACTTTGTTTTAGTAGGCCTCTTCCATGCATAAATTAATATAGTGAATATTTAAATATTTTTAATTTTATTCCGGTCGCTAAGATTGCAATTTATGCATAGTGATTGTGTTTTATAGCAATATTAAAAAAAGCAACTTGTGATATTATTAGTCTAAGCAAAAAACACGTCTTACCGAGAAACAAATTATTGTATATTCTGTTAATTTCTCCATTCATCCATTAAGAATAAAAAAAAAACGTTTTTTGATACATATATCTAAGAACATTCACCGAAATTTAAAGTTTATCCGACAAACAGTTTCAGAAATATGCGTATTTGTAAGATTTTTTAGCTTAGTGCAATTGGTTCCTAAAACTTTTAACGCGTTTTGCTCGAAACGCCGTTTTCAAAGTCGATGAAGAAAATTTCTCCGAAACGGCTGGATGGATCGACTTGAAATTTGCACAGGACATTTTTATATATACTTGTATTTGTCAGGTAATGAGCGATGAAATTGTTTAACATAAACCTACTCTTTTTTAGGAAACCGCCAGTTATTAAAGTACAAGTATATTAAACACTTGAAAAAATATAAAAAATTTGTTTTTTGACTTGCAAGTAGATATCACCCCTTAGCGATTAATATTTATTATATTTTAATTTGGTTTTTCATATAATAGAAAGCAATAATTAAAAGATTAGTGATAACTAGTCAGATCAACAAAATTATTTGCTATGCAGTCTGTAGTTCTGTCTAAAGTTCGCCAAAATATCTTCTTTAGCTTAGTTTTCGAAAAATCTTTTTATTTATTTTTTTTTAATTCAACTCGTATTTGCAAAAATATCAAATTTTTTAACTTTTGTATTGAATTTACTATTCGATCCAGGCTTTTCTAGTATAAATTTGACAAAATGTAGGCAACGTTTTACAAAATGTTTACTGATTCGAAAAAAATATTTTTTTTCTAGTTTTTTTTTGACATATTTGTCGATCTTAGTCTTTTTATATAAAACTTACTATCGAAAAGATCTAAAATGTCTAATTTTTGACAAAGTTTTCTAATTGACTTATCTTGTAGTTTTATATAAACGCTCGAAAATGTAGGCAAGTTTTTTGTTTAATAATTATTATATGTTAAGGACGCTCTTGAAAACTTTTCAATACTTCTCGAAATCGTTGGACGCTTTTCCAAGGAATTTAGTAACTTTCATATCTAAGTACGCGCCGAAAAATATTCAACATTTTCTTAAATGTCGGTTTTCGCTTTTTTCAGGAAAAATGTTTATCAAAAATTCTTGAAATATTTCATTTCATTTAGATTTTTGTAGTTGACTTTAATTATAGTTTGATATAAACATCCAAAATGAAGGCAATGTTTTTAAATGGTTATTGTATGTCAAGGAGGCTCTTAAAACCTTTTCGATTATTCTCAAAACCTTGCATGCATGGTTTTAGGCAATTGCAAGTAATTTTTATTGATTCGCCGAAATGTAGGCAAAGTTTTTTTAAAGCCCTCCAAACACTTTTAGAAAATATTTTTTACTTGATTCGGACTCTGACTTTATACTAAATGCGCATATAATAAAACTCGTCAAAACAAAGAAAAATTTTAACAATAATTGAAAATCTTAAAGAATAAAGCTTCGAGATTTGCTATAAATTAAATTATCAATTTTTTTAGAGATATAACCCGGTAATTTAGTGATTTTTTATATACATATTCACAAGCTAAGTTTAATATTTATCACCATATATGTACATTCACACCTCCTTTACTAATGCCAATTACATGAATGCCAGCTGTCTTGATATCTCTCTTAAACGGCACATTTATTTGCAATTTGCCATTCGCCGCCTACATGCAAAGCGCTCATTCATCTTTGTGACAGTTTGCATGCTTTGAAAATATGCGCCAACACAAACGCTCACACCTTTTATTTTTTATTTAATTTTTTTACAAATTATCTTTATGCAAAACTCACCTGTATCACACGCATCGGCAACCCCGTCTCCTTGGCCAATTGTTCCCTAATATGCCGTGTCGGTTTCGGTGTTTGATTAAATGCCGTTTTCAGTACTTCCAGTTGTTTGGCTTTTATCGTCGTTCGCGGGCCGCGTCGCTTCGAGCCGTTCGCATCGTCAGGACTCTTGTTCTCCGCCTGCGAATCACCACGACCGTCAGGATCGCCATCTAAGGAACCCTGTAAATGGCAAAAATATATAAAAAAAAATAGAAATGTAATGCAAGGAGGAGGTGTGGGGCAAGTGTGTCTGATTTTTTTCTCAATTTTTCTTTTTGGTTTTTAGTGAAATCGAGCGATTTCATTTGCACCGCCAAACAAAGGCTTAACGTTGCAAGTACTACATACTTACCGCTTATATTCGTTGAATAACCATTTTCAAATCATTAATCATCAGCGGTAACACCACTAACACAATCGACTGTCCGACAGCGTACAACATCATCAGCAGCGCACCGCGCATAATCATCAAACGATCGGTCGCAGTAACGATTTTGGCGGCGTTAAGCAGTCGGAAAGTCAAATGGCAAAGTAGACACACACACACACACACACACCTTTATCAGAAATATTTAATGCAAATACAACAACAACACCAATACTTATCACAGTTCACAATGAGTTATGACTAAATATTTGGTGCACCGCTGTGCCGCTTACATCAGCTGTTGCCGCTATTCACACTCGCTGCATGCAACATGTTTTTATTTTTATCTATATATTTTTTTTTTAAATATTTTTTTACTGTTTTTATTTAACATTTTTTGTATTTCTTTATTTTTTTGGCTTTTGTTTTCATATACTTTAGTCGTTTACTAATGATTATTACCTGATCGGAATCGTCATGCGTGTTTTTACTATCCGTGCTCATACTTTGTACTGAGATATCGGATGCTCCCAATGGTCCACCCGCTGAGTCGGGCCCGTTCGGTCCCAATACGCCGAGGCCGAGTGGTGGCCCGCGCAAATGTGGTGGATCATCGTCGTCTTCGTCTTCGCTCGCGGAACCCATTAATGAATCTGTAATGATTTACAAGAACAAGAAAAAAAAATGTTGCATGAGTTGATGATTAGGAAATCAGTCGTATCGATAGGTGTACGAAATCTGAATGGGAAATGTGTAAATGTGGAAATTACACAAAAATACTACGACGCGCTTATTTGTTACTCGTTATAAATGGAAACGTATTGATGGCATGAAAAATGTATTTTTAATGCAAAATGTTTTGGGAACTCGAAGCGTTTGTGAGTTTAACTGCTTGCAATACTTTTTTCTATTTTTCTTTATGGTTTTTGATTTGTTTGCTTTTTTTATCTTTTTAGTTTTTTTTTAGTTGTTTTTGTTCTTGTATTTAGTGAATAGTGTTAAATATTAACTGGGCAAGTGTGAGATAAGTATAAATTAACCATTAATTAATATTGATTAATATTTCTAGCAAAGAACAGCTATCAAGAATTAAGAATCACATTAATATAATATAATAGAAATTAAAAAACAAATCGTAAGCAATAGAAGTTTTGATTCGCAAGTATAGTTAGTTTTAATCTTAATATCTCTATTACACATATTTTTTATCAATATTACAATAACTTTACTCTTCTGGTTTTTTAATGGACTTATGTAACGTTCTTGGTTTTTAACTAGAAATATTATTATCCAAAATGCTTAAGGTATCTAATTTTTGCTAAATTTTTTTAATTGACCTATTTGATTTTAAGGTAAACGCTCCAAAATGTATGCTACGTTGTCAAAAATGTTTAATAACTCGAAAAATTAATTTTTTTCTTTTTTTTTTTAAGGGGTTATGCCTCGGGCGTTGTATTTTTCTAGAAAAGGTATGTTCGAAAATATCTAAAATCTCAAAATTTTGCTAGTTTTTTTTAACTGTCATATTTTATAGTTTCGTTTAAACGCTCTCAAATGTAGGCAATGTTTTTTTTAAATATTTAGTATATGTCAAAGTGGCTTCAAATAATAACTTGTTATATGTATATAATTTTAGTATTTGCAGATTTTTACGTTTTTTTTTTAACGAGAACAGGGTATATTAAGTTTGCCACTAATTTTGTAACACTCAGAAGGAAATGTCGGAGACCCCCTAAGAAGTATATATGTATTGTATATAAATGATCAGCTGAGTCGACATAGCGATATAAACTGACCGATCAAAATCAAGTCCATGTGCATATGTAAAACCTTTTTTTATTTGCCAATATATCTTCACGAAATTCGGCATGATTTACTCTCCAAGGCCACAATTCAATTGCCGAATATATTGTTCAGAACACACCACTATATAGTAGCACATATAGCTGCCTTACAACCTTACGGATCAAAATCAGGAAAAAGATGTTGTGTGTTAAAAGAAATGCATCTGTGAGGATGCAACCAAAGTTGACGGTTTTTTTTTGTTTTGAATACATTGAACCCTCAAAAATTAATTTAAATATATGTTTATTATATTTTAAATACATTATTAATTAATTAATTTGTTAATATTTTTTTTATTATTGTGTTTTTTTTTGTAATTGTATTTTTTAAATGGAAATAAGAATTAAACCGATTTTAAAAAATTTTTGTTTGAAAAATTTTTTTAAATTGCGATTTTGGAAATTTCAACTTTTCGAACTTTTTTGTGTTTTTTGTAATATGGTACGGTTTCTAAAATATTTCTTTTAATATAAGATTAACTTTTTTCAAAACTGTAAAAAAATTTTAAAATTACTCCCTAGTAAATTCATTTATTTATACATATGTTTTATGTTACTTTCTATCAGGTATGCTTCTGATAACCTGCATATATTGTGTGTAGTAAAAGTAGGAAATTTGTTTTAAGATAATTTGATATATTTGTTAATTTAATTCAAAAATATGAGTGTCAATTATTGCAAAAACTGTTTTTAGTAAGCAGATCCACGGTTGATTAGCAAATTGTTGTAATAATTTTATGGAAAAAAATTGTTTCTGTTTTATTTCAGTAATATTTTATTTTTTAAGAAAGTAATTTCGTATTCTCCGCTTAAAAATTAAGCCTTTTCATACCCTGTCCATATTAGATCGACGTTGAACTTATTTTCCCAGCACTTCTGTTTTCATCATCTATTACATATACAAGTATGTAAATATACACCCTCACACAGCCAACTTGCAACGTAAGCCTTCACTTTTGACAAGTCTGTGAACTTTAACCCTTGAGTGCACGCCTCTTCCGCGACTGAGCACTCCGCATACGGGTGTATCCTTTCATTTCCCCTTTTACAAACACACACACATGCTTAAACTTATGCAACGCCACTTTACGCACTAGTTACTTAGCTTAGGTTACACAGCAACAACAACAATAATGTATCATATTGCCATAGTTATTTGTGTCCGAAATTGCCTAACAAGATGATGAATCAACTTAACAAATGCAATAAATAATATTTGCGCAGCTAATCTCACACCAATTCGAATTGAATGCCCAACGAATTGAGGCCCAGCGGCACGTGACCGTGCGCGTGTGCCTTATTGAATGCCGTTGCGCGCAACTGCACAAAGCAAAGTTGCTGTGTACAGCTGTGAGTGCGTGTGTCTGATAAGTAGCCGCAGCAGACAATCAGCGGGCTTTAAAGCTGTCGCTTCAATCACTGCTGTATTTGTTTGTCGCCAAAGGCCACACATATACATACGTACATGTACACAAGTCTCCATTGTGCTCGTATTTGCATTCATGTGTTGTTCTATGTGGTGCTTGCTGGTGTTGCAAGTTGTTCGTTTGCATTTCTATTGCCGGCACCCGCCAACATCAACGTCAGCAGTGGTTGTGTCTTATCAAAGCCATACCATGCAAAATGCTGACACGCGCACGACACTCACGCATGAAAGTGGCAGGCGCAACGACACACAGATAGACAGATGGTTGAGCCCTATACACACGCAGGCTGGCGGTGTGTTGCATACATTTTGGCACTTAAGCACTTTGTACTTGAAAATTAATCGCTTTTTAAAATGTGCTGCCTTGAGACCTTCTTTTAGTAGTAGCAACACACTTGTAGGTTGTCGTGCACTTGCACGGCCTCAAAGGACACTTTAATGAGCATATTATGAAGAAAGAATGAAGCGTGTAACTCTCGGCGCTTGTTGGGTGAGTAATTCTGTATTTGTTAATAGACTTAATAAAAGTGAATGAAAAATTCTCTAGTCTCTTTTTGGTAAACATTACGGCGAAAAAACTGTGTATTTTAAAATGTGTTGGCATGAGAAAACTCTCCTGGGAAATTTGTTATGCAAATAAGATTTGAATAATTAAGAACTCAACGCCATTGAATTAGTGAACTCAAATACAAATTAAAAACGTTAAATAAGCAATCTGTGAAATATTTTCTTGTTTTGTTGTCACTAACAAAACTATTCGTGCAAAAATAAGCTCGCCTTATACCTTAGGTGACAACCTCATTTCTGTTGATTTAAAAGAGCAATTAATTGTCAGTAATTGAACATATGCTTCATTATTCAACACAAAGAGATCTATTTATTTGAGGATTTATAGAATAACATAAGGATCTTTCATTACGCTGTTTATCTTTATGAAAGAAGAGGTGGTAAAAGAAAAAAAATTGCCAAGAATTTGCTTAGACTTATCATCACTCAATAGCAAGATATACCCTTTTTATACACAGAACAGCGTATATTAATTTTGCCGCAAAGTTTATAATACCTAGAAGAAAACGTCGGAGGCCCTATAAAGTATGAATATATAAATGATACCGATATCAGACCGTTATGACATATACATAGCTGCGATACAAGTACTCCGATCAAAATGAAGGTCTTGTACTGAAACTTTTTTATTTTACAAGATGTCTGCTCGAATTAGCATGGATTATTGTCCAAGGCAAAGCTACAATCTCCTAGTAGGACCAGGCTGCCATACATACTGGCCGATCTAAATCAAGTTCTAGATGGAAAGTTTTTATTTTTTCTTTTTATTTTTCAAAATTATAAAATATAGGATTGCAAAGTCTAAATAAGAAAGATCAGAGTGAAAACTGAATAACGACTCTCAACAAATTTGATTTCATGAAAAAACTAAAAAAAAAAGCAAACTATTCATATACCTATACTTCGTGCGCTAACGTGACGTCAGCAAAAAAGTGATGTTTGCAAATATCTAATTTTAATTTTTTTCTTACAGTGATAGTATGTTGTACACAGTCACAACTGAAAATTTTTTTCAAAAGCAACAGCTTATTAGATTTCAAAATGAGGTTTGCCCTGCGACGTAGGGTCTATTGTGCCCTAACAGCTTATTAGTTCATCAGTAAAATTGTAGACTAGTCTTTTAGTTGATACCGTTCGTAGACCTTTTGAATTGGGATTAAAGTTATAGGCGTCTTTACGAGATATACGCGAAGTTTTGATAAAGGCTTGTTTTACAACACAAATTCATATATTTTTTAATATATTGAGGTATGTTGCAACATCATCTATAGTCAATTTGAAGCCTAAAAGATATTTAAACCTCAATAATGTATTTATAAACTTTTTCGTGTTTTTTTTTTGTGTATTTAGTCGCTCTTTTCTTCTATTCATAGTGCATTCTGTCTAATTTGAAAATTTTTTTTTAAGGGGGAAGTAGGGTTTTAAAATTTTTTTTATATATTTCTTTTTTGATCTCAAATAAATGTATAACAAATATTTTGCAAGAAATTGCGCTTGTTTCTAAAAAAAATTTAAAAATATTTTTATCGAAAAATCCCCTTGCAATTATCTGGTGAAAAAGCTTATCTAACGAATGAACCTTGCTTTTTGGAATCAGATGATCCAATATCTAATACTAAGAATTGTTTCAGTGTAGTGTGTATAATGCCGGAACGAAAACATTTTTCAAGATCACAGTCTACAACCGATAAAGAAAATAAAGACAACAAAGTCGGAAGCATAATATTAAAATTTCTCTTTCCTTACTCTTGCTTAAGCAGAAATTTTCGAAAGGACCAAAGAAATATTCAAAATAGCTTCCGCTGTTCCAAACAAA